CCGCCGGCGCCTGTTTCGCGCGTCGGGGCACCGCTCGGGCCGCGCCGGGCGGCGGCTGCATCCTTTCGGCCGGCGCGAGAGGGGCAGATGCTCGGCGCTACCGGCCCGCGGCGTCTGCCCACCATCAGCAACTGTGACCCGAGAAGCGTGACGCCTGTGGGCTTTATGACGTTACAGAAAGGCTGCTCCTGGCCTTGGCTTGACGTAATCGATCTACGTTTAACGTTTTAACCGCGGGGGGAGATGCTTGTTCCTATTGGCTACTTAAAAATGTTCCCTAGATGGGCTGATGGCAAAGGAAGGCAGCTCCGCGTTTGGGAGCAGGGCTCAGGCAGCTGTCCTGCTATCTCTTTCATCCTTGCAATCTCACATTTCAAATTCTCTCAACAGGACACCCGTTGTCCTACACCCACCGCAAAGGCAAAACCCTCTTAGGAATCGGATGTAAGAGGCAAAATAATTGCAGATTAAAAAATGAACAGGGTATAAAATAGTCTGAAAAGACTTGCCCGGTCCTAGGATTGTCTTTCTGTGCACCTCTTCCCCTCCCCCACCAACATAAGAAATATCCTAGACCTCTCTGTGAACAGAAGCAGCCCAACTTGTCTCTGGTCTTGGCAGGGGTGGGAGTGTGCAGGGTGGTTTCTTCTCTATAGTCCCATCTACCCTTGGGGAATTTTAGGGGATAACATTCCCATTGGTGCTACTGATGTTTCATGTGCACCAATATTAGCTTCTCTTGGGCACTAGGATAGTCAAGTATCTTGCTGCCTCCTTCATTTAAACCTGAGGGCCCCACACTTGGGGGTCAAACGACTCCAATTTCTCCCCCCCCCATGCCCATCAAGGAAACTGTCTGCTCTGCTGCCTGTCTTCACAATGGCAAGTAGAGCTGGGCTGGCCATGAAGGGGTTGCTTTATGTAGCACTTTTCACAAGTATAACTTGAAGCACTCTACAAAGTAGGTCAGTTTTATAGCCGTTTTATAGATGGGACCAAAACCCAAGAGAGGTAAAGTGATTTGTCGGAGATCACTTGGTAAGACACTAGCAGAGCCTGAAATGGAACCCAGGTATCATGAGTCTTAGATCAGCTCACCATCTACTAGGTCACGTGAGTGACAAGTGCAGAACATTTCCCAAATTTATATGGTGTCCATGCACAGAGGCCAGGCAACTCTTCCCTGTCTCATTCCAGGTGTGGTCTATGGACTTTAAAAGTTCTGATCTTGTAAACCAGTGGTGGTTTTCCCAAGGAATATGGGAGTGGGGTGGGGACCCCCTCCAGATTACCAAATCTGTTTGAGTTCTCTTTGGTGTGTGACTCAGGGTGGGGGTTGTAGAACAAAGAGGTTTTGGCAACAGTGAGACTGGCTGTGGCAGAGAACGTCATTCTTGCCTACTTGACTTCTGATATGTGAGTAGAAGAAACATCATAGAATATTGAATTGTATTTTTTCTCCATAAATTCGAAAGAGAACTATAAATACAGAGAAAAGTATTCAAGTTGTAGGTCTGTGTTGTTCACTACGCACACCCGAAATACTTACCTTTATGCACCTGTAATATCTTGCTGAGAGTTACGAAGTACTTCACAAACATAAAAATCATACTCTGTCCCTAAATATTTTTACTTATTGATTAAAAACAAAGTTGTTATAAAAAGCTTTTTCTTTCTGGATTTTTTTTTTCCCCTTGTGTGTCTGAAAACACTTAATACAGAGTCAGATTCAGTGCTTTCTCTATATAATTGAATGGAGGTGGACTTTTACCATCCACAGAGTATGAGGAGAACCACTGAAGTCAAGCATCTTGAAACAAAGACAAATGAGTAATTTTTCAAACCAGACATAAATGGTCAATAACAGTAATTTTCTCAACAAAGGAGAGAGAAATATTTTTTTTTAAATAAGAAAATGTGATGGTAAAGTGCCTAGATTATTCAAATGGATGGAGGAGCTGATGCAAGACATAAAACTACTTTCTAACTCATTGTTTTTAATGGGTTTCATTTCAAGCTCACATTGTCCCTTTAGTTGGTAGACTGTCTTCTCAGACCATAAGAATCAAGAGTCACAACACTGATTTGAATGTAATTTAAACAATTCTATATTTATACCCTAATGACTTTTGAACTAACAACAGCCCTGTGTGGTAGGTAAAGGATGTAGACATTGAAACACAGAGGAGTTGAGTGATTTGCCTGTGATCATACAAAATGTCTGCAGTAGAGCCATAGAGTTATAACTTGTCAAAAGCAGAAGCAAATCTCTGATTTCATGTAGCAGTTTTGTTTATTGTTGTCTCAAATAATATTGGGAAAGGGCTACCATAATTTGGAGAAATGTAAACATTAATGGCACTTCTCTAAAATGTTGATGAGATAAGTCTCTAGTGGTAAACTTCACTTCCTAAATCTACTGAATACAAGAAATCATGGACTAAATCTAGACATTAGATTTATGGCACATTAAAACCTGCCTGCCATCTGATAACCCCAGGTAACCTCTCTACATTATACCTGCTACATTCTACCACCAGGTTAACACTCCCTCCTTCCCTACTCCTCCCCACCTGTCTCTCACCTGTTAACTCACATCCCCTTTGATCTTCCCTGCCACACATTTGCTTTTTCACTGACCTGCATTTTGCATATTGGCTTAAGCTTCTATTATACCTAGGAGAGCCCACAAACACCAGCGACCTGAAGAAGGGTGTTTGTGCCCAAAAGCTTGTAAAGAACATTTTTTTCCAACTATTTAGTTGGTCTAATAAAAGACCTTGTCTGCCAATGGTAAACTAAAACACTCCAAGTAAAGGAAAGAGCGGGGCTCTCTGCTGTGCTGAAGGAAAGCTCCACTGAGACAAATGCACACGTATACTTTGGTGGGCTAGTCATGTTACTTCTCTTTTTTTCTGGGCTATCAATGCAGTGAGGACCCAGTTTCACAAGGTGCTGTACACACTTCAAGAAGTTTAGTGAGTTCAACTCCCACCAAAGTTTGTGGGACTCAAAGATGCTGGGTACTGAGTACATGGGCTCAGCATCCTGCAGAGCTGAGCCTTTGACTCTCCACTGTCTTTCTATGAAGGGTCCCTTAGAGTAATGTGAGAAAAAACCTGAAGGCTGCCCTATGTTCCATCCTGACTGGGTTACTAGATAACCCTGCAGCAAAGAAGCCTAGGTGGGCCCTCTGGGAGTGATACTTTTGGAAGAGTACCTTCTCCATACTAACGTTTCACACCATCCAGAGAACAGACAGAGAAGTTCCTTTTGCTAGAACAGAAATAATATTTCTGCAATAGATATGAAAGAATTCATTTCTGCACTACAGTTGTAAGGCCAGCTTCAGAATATACAGCCAGTGGGATGGAGGGCTTCCCAGCAGGCAGAGAGCTAGCTGCTCATCAGTCTCTAGTGCAAGAAACATGCTTAAAGAAAAAGTTCCTGAGGAAAGTTGAAAGTTAGGGATTTTCAGGGCCATTTTTTAAACCTGTGCTGACATTGATCCAATTCTTAGTAGAACCAGGACAGAGGATACACATTGCCTTCTCACTATTTAGCTGAGTTAGGGGCACTGATTCAGGCTTGAGGAAGGCCAGAGCAGGAATCCAAGTTAGACGGAATTAAGCGATGTAATTCCACTCTAATTATCAAACTAATCAGAAGTGTTGCCAACAAGAGAAGTTTTAAAACTACACGAAGCCGTAGTATTGGACAGAGAGGGGAAATGCATTAGATCATGGGGGAGTTCTCAATTACAGACAATTTATAGACTATTTTGTAATAATTTGTATTTTGTAATATATATGGATCAGAAGTAGAAGGTTCTAATATTATTTCTCAACTTGGATTTTAATTAGGATTACACTGATAACATCAATCTAAATGTGCCACACAATAAAGACTTCAGAAAAGCACCTCTTTGTACAGAAGATCAGAGTGTCAAGTGAGTGAAAGGTACTCTATGTTCTTTCCTTGAATGGCAAGCATTTACTATGCCATGGAAAGTATAGGTTCAAAAATAAGCCATGCCAGAGAAGTGCATTTATAAAGAAAATAATCTACCTATATATTTTTAACTGTAAATGAACAAAGCAAACACTTACATTCTGAATAATTTATTTTTTCCTGGCCTCTGATATTAATGTGTTCAGTTTTTGCTGAGTTCTTTGGAAACACTTACATAGTCATTAGATGGTTATTATACTTAGTAGAGAAATAGCAATTTATGAAATGACAGCTATGCTGAATCTTGTGGCTTTTGGAACAAATTGCATCTTCAGTTGCTGTAGATAAGAGACCAAACACATTTTTTAAACAATATATAATTGAAATTCTTATAAAGAGAATGTCCCTTTGATAAATAGGGTTTACATGGCATCATAAAGCCTGATTTTCCTATGTTATTGGCAGTCTATTGAAGGATGTATACTTATGTTTTTCCATCTCTAATACTTGTTTGGTTTGGTTTGTGGTTTGAATACTAAGCGTAAATGTAGTTACTATGTTTGGGGGGGGTGACACAATTTTTACTGAATGTCTAGAAAAATTCTAAGGCATTTAAAGGGCTGCCATCAATTTATTATCTAGTAGGCAACTCCTCGCATGGGTGCCAGAGTATGGCACATGCATTCTTCTTGGCATGCGTACCTCAGGGCTGAGGGCAGGCAGGGAAGGGACTGGGGCTCGATCCACAACAAGGATCAGGCCCCTCATGGCTCCCCCGCTGTTTGCCCCTGGCATGCTAACATCTTACAAGTTGAGGTTGTGGGTGTTTTTGGCACTCTGCCCCAATGGTGCCAACCTCTGATTTCGTCATTGACAAAGCACCTGAAAATACATAACTTTTTTTTTTTTTTAAATCTGTGTTATTTTCTCTAAATTTGTTCATGTAACCTGCTGTGTGTGAAGCACCTGTTCAAACTATAGAGGAAATCCCTAATTGGGCAGTGAAACGGCCTTAGCACAAAGTACTATCAATTGAACAGGGCAGACATGCCAAAAAGAGGTGTGGGTTTTTTTCCCCTTTCTACCCTCTTCTGGATATAGTAATCTTGTAATTATAGTTGGTAAAAATGTTTAGACAGATGTGTGTTAAGATGACGCATCCTTTTAAGATTCCTATATATTTTTCTAAATCATTATAAAATGCATTACATTTAAAATGTAGAAGTGGATGGCCTATTCTCATCTGGGGCCTATCCTGCCAAACACAAACATCTTTATTTGCATGGGTATCCCATTAAATGAACATGACTACTCATGTCATGTTTAGTTAGGTGGGAAAGGCTTATAAGTAGGGGTCTATCTAAGTTGAGGAAGCAGCCAGCTGATTTTGTGGGAAGATCATGCTGCAATATTCATGGGTAGATCATGGCAGGGTCCCCGCAACACCTCTGGCTCAGGGGCTCTTGTGGCCCCACACTTTGCTGCCAATTAGCTACGAGAGGTGTCAGTCATATGGCCCCACTCCTCACTGCATATTGGTTGTGAAGGCTGTCCATCATGTGGACTTGCCCCTCACCCCCAATTGGAGTGGAGGGGCAGGGCCTTATGACAGGCAGCTTTCTCGGCCAATCAGATGTAAGGGGTGGGCAAGGCAGCTGTCTTAGGCTGCCCTTTGGGTGGGCTGCAGTGCCATGAAGACTGCTGGCTCCCTCTGGAGCAGCTAGCATTTTATTTTCAGTAAGTTTTCTCTTTTTTTCTCTCGGATTTCATGGATTTTGCGCGCACTGCCCACTTTTGCAATTTCTGTGAAATCTGCAAAATTGTAATTTTGGTAGGCCCCTGCTTATAAGGACTGAGTCCTGGTTTGATGAACCTGACACATTCCCAAATCACCAGGTAGGCAGTTTTATCTATAATTATTCCTTGATGGCTAATTATTCTCCTTCATTACATTTAGGGGATTATATGTGAGTTGTTAATGGCTTTTCAAACTGAAAACTGTTGGATAAAAATGGTTATAGTGTGTCTCTCTCCAGAGGTAACAGATTATTTTAATGCCAAGACAATTTCCACCTTTCTTTTTTTAAAGATGGGAAGAGTTTTGTCTTCTTATTTTCCTGGACAAAATAAAAAGTACATTTTAGTTTGCCATTTCTGGGAAGGTCTTTGAATAGGACCTGCTGGTAATTTTTCAAAGGTGAAAAGTACAGTTAGTTCCCTTCCTTTGCAAGTCAGTTGCAAAGGAATCAGATACCTAACTCAGTCAATCAGATACCTAACTCTCGCCTGTTCGCTTGAAAATCCACTGCCAATCCGCTCTTCTCCCGGCAATTATCCTCTCCTGTGTGGGTTTTGTTTTTTTTTTTACTGTTTTTGTCAAACCTAGTTTAAACTAGTGTCCCAGGCAATGGGCTTTTGCCCAAATAGGTATTTTAGATAACCCATATATTGCTCAATCTCTTTGTTTACACACAGGCGATATTTGTGTAGCTCAGAAAAGTGTGTCCTGAGCACCTGCAGATCCAGTTGATGTCAATAATATCTGCAGATGCTCAGCACCTCTCTGGATCAAATTCATTGGGAAAATCCTTGTTTTCAGGAGTTGAGCAGATGATGCAGGAACTGCCTCGATGCTCACTGGGGTTGAAAACATGATGGAAATATGTTATTATCAGTAACGATTATATTGGTAGAAATAAAATCATTCTTTTAACCTGGTTTCCTTAACCATGAGATGGGAAGTAGTTTCTGGCAGCAATGGTTTAATGGACACTGTAATTTAAAATAATCTGTCTAGCCCTTCTGGTTGCAAAGTAACCCTCTGAATGTGTGAACTAATGCAGTGCTGCCTATCTAATGTTTCTGGGATGCTGCAGCTTCTGTTACAAAGGTTTTTCTCACTCTGAGTCAAGTTGAGCAAGAATGCTGGGTCAAAATGCCAAGGGCAGGGGTTGCTGGACTGCAAAGGATTTTAAGATTCTTTATCCTCAGAGGGCTCACTTGAGCAAGACAAAGCTAAAACAGTGCATTAGATATTTGAATGATTTGGGGGATGTTTAAAGGGGCACTGTCAATACCCTGCTAATTTTTTTTGTTACTATTATAAGTAACACACAAGATTATCATCACAGAAAAAGATTAGAGGAGAAAAATCTTCCCTTTCCTCCTTCCCCAGTTTCTTTATTTTGTGTATTTGACAATACTTGCCTACAGTCAGTTTCACTGCTTCTTCAAGTGAATCCGTTATTTCCCCTATTTTTTTTAAATAGGAAAATGAGATTGTAAGACAATAGTACTTGTCAGGGAGCCTGGTAGTGTGTATAAACATCAACCCTGGTCATTGATAAAAACTTGTTTCAAGCTGACAGTGCCTCTTTGAAAGAACAAGATTATTTATTTTAAGCACACATTTCTTAGACAATTTTTTAAAAGGAGCCTTGTATGTTGAGCCCTCACTGACCCCTTTGCCTTGAGGGCTAAGAACACTAGGAAGAAAATTTAAAGGATTCCCCCCATCTCTGTTTCATAGTCATTGTAGCCCTTTTCTCATATACTTTGCTACAGTAAATGAGCTGTTCCTGTCAAAACTTCTTCAAGCACCTGTCCATATAATGTCAAAAGACTCATGGGTTAATCCTGCTCTTTAGCAACAGAAAATCACAAAGAGCAAGACTCTGAGAGGCTCCAAGGTTTTCTATTCGCATCTTCACCAAAAGGGTTTAATTCTCTGAGAGCTGCCAGTCAGTGGTAAGAGCAAACTTCTCAAACCTGAAACCTCTAAATCAGCTTCCTCACATGTATATCTCAAAGTAGATAGGTGACACATGTTCTGATATCCACGCCTACCCACTCCTTAGAGGAAGCACTGGTAGATGTTGAACCAGAGCACTGCAAATTGCAATGGTGATGCAGGCAATTATGCCTCTTTGATTTGAGACAGAATCAGCAGCTGCCTTTTGAAGCACAGACATATTCACTGAGGGTGAATCCTGGTTCTGTTAAACCAAGGGTTGTCAACCAGGGGTACATGTATCCCTGGGGGTACTTTGAAAGGTCCCAGGGGGCATGTGGGGTTGGACTGCCGCCACCTGTGCCACTGCCTCACAGGAGAAGGGCCGGGGCAGGGCAAGAGCACTGCTCTGCCAGTTGGCATGCCCCCATTCCACGTCCGGCTACTTGCCAGCCACCTTGCCTGCCCTCCTTCCCCCCACCCCCAGCTTGGTGTCCAGCTGCTTGCCACCCTCCCTCCCAGGGGTACACTTCTTAAAAATGGGGCCACTGCAGATACACTTATTAAAAAAGGTTGAAAACCCTGTGTTAAATAAAAGGCAAAATGGCTATTGAGTTTATTAGGGTTTTGCCTTCAGTGTATGAGCTAATGCTGTTTCATAAACTTAAACCATCTGAATGTTTTCTACGTACAGAACGTGATCCTGACATATCAGTACCCTTGACTCAGCATTGATTCTATTTTGCATATGCTGCAGGCTATGAAACAGTATTGAAAACATTGCACACCTGCTTAGAATAGAGTAAAAGTTGACCTACCTTGTCCTTACAGGTCCAGGCTCCAGTGCAATCACTGATATTCAAGGGATACTGAAACTTCTCAGTCTGGTTTGGAAGCTGGCTACAACAGGCTGCACATTATCAATGCAAATAAATGCCTACTGTACCAGTGTTATCTTGTGCAGGTTTCTTTTCCGTTTTGTGAAACCTCCTGAGGGTATTTCAGTAAACAGTATTGCTCCATTGATATTCTGCTGCTAAGGGGTTAGACAGAGCCAGGATCTGGTGGAGACATTGGGCTTCTGGTAGATTTTGCATTCTGTGAACTGAACTCTCTTTTACTTCATAAGGACCAAATCCCTCCCCTCAAACAAATATTAGCAAGCAACTCAATGAGAAAAAACTCAGAATTTGGATCCTCCTACACAGCTATACCCACATAGAAGCCTGGTGTGCCTCTTTGCTACAGGTTTCACCAGGTTATTTGGAGCTCTAGACCTGTTGAACATTGACTTTTTCTGCCCCTTTTAATCGTAGTAAAATCCAAGATGAATCGCAGTAAAATCCAGGCCCCATTGAATTAGTATCTTGCATTGATTTCAATAGATCCAGGATTTAATCCAGTCTGACTACTCTGAGTAAAGTGCTGTTCTGCATGACTGAAGTGGCAGAATTCAGCTCTGCTGTTATGCCTGTTCGTTTTCTTTTCTTTTTTCTAACAAGCGCAAGGGGAATTGCAGGCCCAAGTATAGTGAAAGCAGTGACTTTGACCACATTTGCACTGATTTTTCACTGGTTTAAGGAATATATCCAGCTCCTGGGAGGGAAATTCAAACACTGAGTTAGGTACCCAAGCTCCCAGTAGAGTGAACATTAGGTTTCTTCAAAAACCTGCATGCTGAGTGGGGAATTACCTAGAGCTAAACAATAAAAAATACTAAGCACAGAAGCATGTCTTAAATCCCACCATTTCTCTAGAGCTTAAGTAACTCTATCCACTTGGAGTTCAGAGCCCAGAGGCACCCCTTGAGTAAGAGGGCCCACAATTACTCTGTGAAGGGACTGAGCAGGGCTTACTGTTTTAAGATGAAGGTGGTGGTACCATGCACATACACAATAGCTTAGTGGTTCGAATACCTAGGATGTAGGAGATGGACTCTTTGGGTAAATCTGGTCAGTATCTTTTCTTAGACCAACTCAAATAGTTGGAATGTGGGAGGCTTGCATTCTGTTCTTTAATCAATGCTTGTTTAATATAAAATGTATAAACAGTCCTGAGTAAGGCTCAGACCCCAGATCTCTCCCCTCCCAGTTAAATGCTCTCTTTTTGGCTGTCTGTTCTCCACCTTGTGAGTCTTTCAGTCTTTTTTGTACAGGGGCCCAGTTTCACCAAGAGGGGTGGAGTGCACCTGCACCCAGCTTAGCCTATGGCCAGGTGCTTGGGGAACTGTCCTGAGAAGGGGAGATGTAATTATGATCCCATCAAGGTGAGGAGTGTATTGAATACAGGTGCCTACTTCTTGCAGTAGTGCTGTAACAGCTAGACTAGGGGTGCTCAACCCCTGGGTTACAGGCCAAATGTTGGCTACAGAGCCATGAAATGTGGCCTGGTTTGGGAAGTTTGGCAGGCAGGTAGAGGCAATTAAGACTGCTACCCCTCCCTCACTGCTAAATTACCAAGCCCCATGTGGCTAGATCATGCTCAAGCTGTCCCTCTTCACCCCTACAACAGCCAGGCTGCACTTCACCTGCCCCACCATGTGCTGGATTGGGTCCCCATTGCACCTGCCCCACATGCTGGATTTGGCCTGTTGACAGGCCAGCACCACCCATCCAGCCCTTGAGGTGAAAAGTTAGGGCACCACTACATTGAACTGTGATGTGAAAGGTGGGAAGCAGTGGCTTCACTACTGCTGGTTGCATCCTGTGACTGGCTCGATCCTACTCTGTACCTTAGGGTTCCTCAGGGTATTGCTCCACCTAGGTTCTGAATCCCAGGACCTAGGTGCTGAGCTACTTAAGCCAGGGAAGTTTTTGATGTATGCAGAAGCAGAACTGCAGGCACTTGGATAACTTTCATGTCAAACAGGGAGGTGTTTCAGGAGCTTTCAGGGTTAGGCAGCTGCTATACGGGATTTTTTGGTTTATGGTTTTGGATTTAGTCCATCTGTGCCCTGCTTTAGGTGCCTAAATTCTGCTTGGACTCTAGCTCTAACTTTGTTGATTTCAGTAGAATTATTCCTGATTCATACAGTTGTAAGATCAGAATAAGCCCCTACTGACTCCTTCCTACCCCCAGAGTGCTAGTGTACCTTCTTTCCTGAGGCAAAGCTTAGTATAACTGAGAAATCTCCAGGGAAGCAGGAAATAATTACTTCAACGGGGAA